CCGCGGCCTCCGCCTTGCCTCGTGACTTGGTCGAGCGCATGGCGCGCTGCAGCTTGCGCTTCTTCTTGTTGACGCAGCGGCCGGGGCGAGACTCGTGCGAGCCGTCCTTGCCGCCGAGCTGCTCGCGCAGCTTGGAGACGGCGCCGCGCGCCTCCTGAAGCTCCTCCTCCTCCGAGTCCTCCCCGTCGCGCGGCGCGTCGTGCGCGCCGAGCAGAAAGTGCAGCGCCGCGATCCGCAGCTTTGGGTGGGGGCAGAAGAGGGCGGAGGCGATGACGTTGACGGTCTTGGCGTCGCGCCAGACCTGCCTGCGGTACAGCTCGATCATCGCGCGCAGCGCGTACTTTGCGCCCACCGAGCTCGGCTCCTGCAGGATGTGGATGACGTGGTTCTGCAGCGCGCGGTTGAGCGGCTGGTCGCGCGCCTTGCGGTTGGCGGTCTTGATGTCGGTCACGACGTAGGCGTACAGCCGCGCGCGCAGCGTCTTGTCGCGGCAGCGGAACAGCCGGAAGCACCGCTGCAGCAGCGCGAGCGGCGGGACCATCCCGCGGTTCCGCAGCAGGACGAGCGCCTGCAGCAGCGCGCGCCGCACGGCGGGCTCGAGGACGTCGTGGCGCTCCTCGAGGAGGCGGCCGAGCCCCTCGGGCAGGTCGGCCATCAGCGACGGAAAGCACGCCGCGATGTGCGAGACGAAGCTCAGCAGCGGCAGAAAGTCGGCCGGGCTGCTCCCCGGCTGCTGCTCGACGAGCGCGAGCAGCGACTGGAAGTGGCGCAGCCGCCGGCCGACCTCCTCGGTGTAGCCATCCGGGTCGCGCCGGACAAGGTTCTGCAGCGTGGCCAGCGAGGGCGCGGCGGCCATGGAGCCAGGGGCCAGGGGCAAAAGCTGCCAGCACGTGCCCCGCACGCACTTCAGTGGCGGCGCGGGTCCCATTTCTTTTTGTGATAGTACTAGCACTTTCTTGTTCGGACCTGTGTCGAGCCTGTCTGCTGTGAGAGAGAGTTCTTTTGTTTAAATTCTTTTTGTGAGCCGGTGTGTGTGTGCTAGTCCGCGCCAGTCCGCGCCCTTGTCGTGCCAGTGTGCTGTGAGAGAGGCTTGTATTTTAAGGTGGCAGTCCGGGTTTTGCGAGACGGGTGTCGTCTCGCAAGATGGCATCACGCTCGCACCTGCCGACCGCCGCCACGGCGGCGAGACGCCTTCTCCGCCACCGCGGCGCCGGCCACAGGCCAGCGCTAGGCAGCTGCCGGCCACACTGGGCCGGATTTGCCGGTAACCGTCGCCGCACACTCCTACGTCCACGCCGCTGTGACGTCTGGCGACGAGGCGCCGGCCGCCAAGCTTCATCGCCAACGTGGTCGCTCGCTGGTCCTCTCGGCTCGGCCACGCGTCGGCCCAGCTCACACGAGCTCCAGACAGCCACCAGTCGCCACGCGCAAAGCGTACGGGTCGCCGGCTCCCTGTTGTGCTCTCACGCTGGCCGGCGTAAAACTGTGCTGGCAGTTGTCAAGCCGTACCCGTCGCGTTTCAAAAGGGAGCCCTCAATCGACGCGTCTACACGCACCGTGCCACCGCTCTCCACAACTGCTACCGTGGACATCAAGCTCCTCGACTCGATCTGCGGCTACGACGGCGCTCTAGCTGCTGGCTCTCGCGGGTGTCTGGCGACCCGCTCAGGCTTGCGAAACGGCCGGCCGCGGCGACGTGTTTCGAGCTCGCTGGCCTTCTCCGCGCGGCTGGGCCCGCCCCTAGTCGGGGCAGACCCGCCCAGTCACTGGGCAGCGCGTGCGCCGTCATCCTGGACGACGGTGTGCCGATGCATCCGGGAGGCTCCGCGGGGCTGCTCTAGCAGCCTCGGGAGGGTCGAAAATCGAAGCCGAAGCGGCGGACCACGGAAGCTCCACGGACGGTGAGGCGGGCTGTGGTTGGCCCCCTCTGACCGGGTGAGGGAGTGGCGCCCCGGGAGTGCCGCTCCGGCGACGTCTGTGGCCTCCACGGTACCGTGACCGCGCCGGCCTCGCTCGGGAGGCTCTTTCGGAGCCGTCGGCCTCCGAAACCGTCGCGTTGCTGCGCCTGGACGGCTTCGATGCTCGCCAAACCCGTCGGCACCGTTCATATACACATGAATTGTGAACGAACGCGCATTTTTCTGATACTTTACTCGCATGTGCCGAAATGTTAGTTTCGATCTAGTCCTCACGGACACAAAACAGAGGCCTCCTAGCACGGAGAAGCGACTAAGAGTCGCCGACGTGCGAGTAAAGTGTCAGAAAAATACGCCCGGAATCACAATTGATCCCGTCGACAAGGCGCCCCAATCGCGGAGGTCTGGCGCGGGCGTGGAGGCGAGCATCGACGCCTCGACGGTTGCTCTTCAGAGGCCGAAAACAGGCGCCTGAAAAAGGAGAGAACGCGAGACTGATCACGCGCGCGGAAAAGCCCGAGGGGCGAATCTAAAGTGCCGAGGCGCTTGCTAATCACCCCAGCTAGGGCCACGGAGGCGCTCGCGGCAGGTCTCCGCGCGCGCGCTGGCCGGTGGCAGCTGATCTCGGGCGGCGGGCGGCGGGAATGGGCTCGGGCGGCACCTTTTGCCCTCAAAAGTCGTTCGAGAGTACCGGGTCGCGGCGGGAACGCGCCCATCCGCTCGATGGGTGTCAGGAGTCGATCGCCTGCGCCACGAGCGAGCACGGGAGTCGTCGCGATGGGAGTCGTAGCGGCGTGGCGCTGGGCTTCGAGAGAGCGACGTGGGCGCGGCGGCGCGGGCGGCCGGTGGGGCGCGTGAGGTCCGCACCTTCGCGACGGGCAGGCTCGATACGGCCGCTGGCCGGGGCGGCCGCTCGACCGGCCGCCGCGGTCGTTCCGGCGGCGGCGTCGGCGTCGGCGTCGCGAGCGAACTGGCTCGCATTCGACGAGCGACCCTCTTCACAGAACCCGGACTGCCACTTAAGAATTCTTTTCTGGCACACCTGTGTTAGTGCCAGTGCGCGCCAGTCCCGTGCCCAGTGTTGTGCGAGGGAGCTTTGTTGTAAAATTCTTTTCTGGTCTCGAGGTTGGATATCCTTTGGCCGCGTTGGGTGTGCAGTGAGGATTGTATTTTAAGAAGTTTTTTAAGACCTTTTAAGAAATGAGGAGGTTTGGGGGCTTAAATTGCTATCGCTGAAACGGATGAGATGAGACTCTATCCTTTTCCTCCAAGCCGGTTCCGGAACCGCTCTGAGCGCGTGGGCCTGCCGACACCAAGTAGCTCTTCAAGTTCCGGGGACCAGCTTTGATTCCGAATCCCGTCAGAGATCGTCTGAAAGAACGGTTTGATCACCTGTTCCCAGCCGCCATCCCGGGGACTATCGTAGAATGCGTCACCTTCCGCATCGCTCGCGGGCAGCAAGCTGCTCATAACCAGATCACCCATGCGACCCTCCTGCCGTTGAACGAAGTACATCTTGGTTGTCCCCCGCTCATGGTGAATGTAATGCTCTCTGGGCCGGAACCTGGTCGCGTAGAACTCGACCAGGTCGAGCAGCAGTTGTGCCCTTGCGTTCTCTCCGGAATAGGCCTTCCGCGGCCATACCCTGCTATCAAGCAGAAAGCATAGCACCAAGACCTCTATGTGAAACGAGCGCAGGTCGATCGAGGCGGCGAGGGCCGGCAGGACACACACGTGCAGCGCGGCCTTCAAAAAGCGGACCAGCGGTCCCCATCGCCGCATTGGCGTGCAAATGCACTGCGTCTCTCGCATAGTTGTGATGACGTTAACCATTCCAAGACCGTGGTGACAGTCACGGCGTCGGCTGTCGTGAGCCGTCACGTCCACGTGAAGGTTGGTAGTCAGACTGAACTTTAGCGTAGGGACGCGCGCAGTCAGCTTCTCGTCGTTGATGATGACTTGCCTGATGCCGAGTTGTTGCAAGAGCTCCGCTTCCTTGTTGAACACGAGGTTCCGGAACCGCTGCAGTGTCTCCCGTTCCTCCGAGCTGCCCACGACGACGACGTCAATGTCAGACCACTCTGTGTCCGTGCCCTTTTTTCGGGCGCCGTACTCGAGGAGCTCGAATCCTGGAAGGGATTCTTGGACGAGCATCGTCAGCCATAGCAGCGCCTGTTTGTAGATCTGAGTTTGGCGGGCGCAGCTGTCGCTTGGTGAGGGTGTGCGACCCACAAAGTCGAGTTGTTTTGTCATGGTCGATAGCGCCTCCTCGTCGACCTCGTCGATAGTGGCAGATGGCAGAGGAGAAGCTAGCGATGGAGGGAGGGACAAACGAGCGCTCGCCATTGCTTCTCTTGGGCCTGTGCTCGAGGACTCTTCACAGACAGCTGTGAAACAGATTGAGAAGAAAATACCTTTGCTGGCCCTGCGTGTGTGTGTGTGTGCCCTGCGCGCTGGTATATGAGAGGTTGAGGTGCGAGCCCTGGAGGCCCCGGTTCACACAAAAGCACAACCCCGGGCCTGTTCACGCAAAAACACAACCCGAACTCTAAGCAAGGAGTCTCAG